ATTGTAATCATTGAACAACTGCATTATTTGTGTTGAGGGCTAAAACATTTTATACTTCCTGCTGAAGTCCAGGGTTTTTTATTGATCTAAAATAGAGATGTTTTCTATTTGCGGTGCTTTCCATTCAAGACTAGAGTAAATGAAATCGAGGGAAGGAGACTTACGACCGGTACACACGGTAAGATTTGTGTTATAATACTTGTATTATACTACAAAATTTTATCGTGTGTACACACCTTATACAGTGTAGCATAAGATTTTTCGAATCTTGTAAAAATGTATAAAGAATAGAGCAGTTTTATTTCTTAATATAAATCGTAGCTGACCTTTTATTCCAACCAATCAGATGGTTCTGTATATACAGCAGGGTCAAATATTAAGAATTTTATTCTTATTTATATTACATGTACCTGTTATTCTGACTCAAAAATTCTAATTAAACAGTTTATACGAAAGAGATTCCCATAATTACAAAAAAAATTATATGCCATAAACTTCTTCCTCTTATTTAAGCGACTCGGATAAATGCAAAACTACAAAATGTTTGATCTATTATGGTGGAGAACTAAAAAATAAAGGAATTATGACAAAGAGTGGTTCAAACATTATTTACATTGTTTTGAGAGAAATATTGAGTGAAAACAACAATTAAGTGAATTAATCTACATTTATTATACAAATCTTACTGTGTGTACGGTCTTTACAGAAAAACACATAAACTTTTTTTTCACGACAGTTCGACAGTTTACTGGAGAGTTTTAATTTAAACAATATTTTATTCACAGATGTAAGAGTGAATAGGATTGGGCAGCAGGCTCAGCCTATTTTAGCCCTCTCCCTACATCAAGGTCAAGGCAAATACACAGTAAATTAATTATTAAAGCAAAAGTAAGAATGTACAAAAGAAGAAAGCAAAAACAAAAATGAACAAAGTTACAGAAGGCAAAAGAAGCAAAATTGCAAAAGGAAAGAAAAAAGAAAATAAAAAATAAAAAAAATAATAATATATAAAAAAAAAAAAAAAAAAAAAAAAAGATAAGCAAGAGTACAAATTAGTACCGGTTTGGAAAAATTGAAAATATTACAATATACTGGAGAGTTTAGCTATTTGCAGTCGTTAGGTGATAATTGGGAGTCTACTTAAGTAAGAGATGTCTGCATTAACAAAATCAGGCAATAGCCCAGTCACGATATACTAAACATTCCCATGTCTAGTTACTGGATATTACCATCGTTAATTCGTCTGTGACAAATTAATAAGCATATACACCTAACACCTGTCAAATCTACCTGAGGTGTCATTCATTCTCTGTCAATTTAGAATGTACCCAAATCACGTCTTCTTCGTCGAGTATGTAAAATCAGTCAAAATAAATTCTACATACCAAAGATAAAGCTAGGAAGAAACTAGGAATTTCGCTAAGTACGATGCATTTTAAAATTGATTTTTGAAGAGCACTTTAATGCGATTTGATGAGATTAGGCGTAATAACATTAAGAGAAACTACAAATAGATTTTGAATTCTATTTATTTATTATTTATTTATATTTTTATTATTTGAACTTTTTATGAGAATTTCTTTCTATATATTTTAAATGAAGGTATTTGTTTTTACAAAAATCACATGCTAATCATCTGCGATTTTATGTCAGAAGTTTTAATGAAACTTTGATTTCATTGAGGAATACTTTCATTGAAACTTAATTTAGATAAGAAATTCACGCTTAAGCAAAATATGATAGGAATGTCTTAGTACATTACGATATAGGCAAATCATCCAAGCTTGATTTAGCAAAGATCGCATAAAATTGCCCCGATAGAACCCTTCTAACTCCTTTTCCATGTGTCTTCAATTGTTCTACACTTTCCCACGATTAACGTGAGCAAAATGTATAAATTTTCCAATTAATTAAATAGATTTGGTGATTGTGGTAGATAAATATGGACCGAGATGGCTGTGAAGTAGAGAAAAAAGCCATGTGGTCAATTTTATACTTACATACATTGTAGATAAACCCGTCTTATCAAATGAACGGTTGTCTCCGAGTTATTTTTAATAATCTTTATAGCTAGATATCAAAATTAGACAAATATAATGATTAGTTTCTTGAGAAGTCTTTCAAGGAAAAAATAGCCTAAATGAACTGTTTATCAAAAGATAATATTTAATTTAATATTCGATTAACTGAAAAAAATTTTCTTTTCCTCAAGAAGAAAAATCATTGCTTTCAAACTTTAAAATTTGAAGGCTTGAACGTGAGTAGTAGGATTAAGTATATATATATATATATATATATATATATATATATATATATATATATATATATATATATATATATATATATATATAATTGTAAAACTATGACCGATATTTATTACATGTTTTACGGTTATTTAACATACAGAGAAAGACATACTAAGTTTTAAGTCAAGTCCCATTTATGCAATTTTTAAAATGTGTGACAATAGATTGCAAGAAAATTAACACAACCATAAATATAGAATTCATGTTTTTTTAAATTTCCAAACTTTTAATTTAAGAAAAAATAAATAGGAATTTTTGTGAAGAAAGCAAATTCATCTTGCACTAGGTTTGAAGAAACGATTTATTTTCCAGTTCACATTTTTTATTATTATTTTTTTGTTTCAAATTCTGGACATGGATCATTTATTTCAAACATTTTTAGGATGGTTGTTTAACTGGATAAATAAAAGGTCAAATTTAATTTGTTAATTCTTATATATATTTCACTGCGATTGAAAAATACGTCATTAAATAGAATTCCATTAATTATAAAATTAGCTTTGTTGAAAAATATCATTCGTATACAATTGCCTTAAATCTGTTTCTTAATATGTAGAAAAGAAAAAAAAATATTTCAATTCTTGTTCCATTTTTTCTTATATTAAAGAAGATGTGGTAATTATCATTTTTTAGAGGATGTGGTAATTATCACTCCAAAGAGTTATCGTTATTCACTCTGTTTTCTCACAAAACAAGGATAAACCTTTTTTCGTTTCAAAATTTGTTGAATATGATACATGATTATGATAATTATGGAATCCTACTAAATAATCAAACCCTAGATTGATGTTTATTCGATGGCCTGGAGTTATGCGATTGTGCTTCACAAACTCAGACTCCTTAGAGAGTTCTTAGAACCAGATAAGGCGATGACATATTGATGGCGCGCGAACTGTCAGATAACTTATAATGGTCTGTGGCTATTTTAATTTCTTAGCTTCTGTAATACTTCCTGTGGTCATTTTTCTTGAGCCTTCGTTAAGTGCCCCCTGATCTGTGTCTAACAATTAAAATTTATCTGTCTACACTCCGATAACAGGGATGGCTGATTATCTGTCACTATCCCGATTTAGAGAAATGAACCTATAATGCATTTTAGATTTAAATTTTTAAAAAGAACTGTTAAATATAGCATTATGCATTTTATCGAAATCTTTATAAGATTATTTATCTTCAATATTTAGAATTTATTTATTATAAGTCGTCTATTCCGTGCATCATAAAAAGAAAAAAAATTAAAGTTAGGTACTTATAGATAATGTGGTAATATTCCGTAAACTGTGTCTGTAAATTTCATTTAATGGGATTTTTAGGCTTGCGCGTTCAGGGAGTTAAATTGCAGTGTGGGAATTTCACAAAACATTGTTAATGTGTATTTGGTTAACTTTTTTTTAAGTGTTGAACAGCACTTAATAATAAAAAGGAAATCTAACCTATAGCTTTATTTCTAAATGAGTACCAAATATGTATATACACTATAGTCGAAGTGTCGAAAATTTACTTTAAAAATTATAATGATGGTGCAGATTGGTTTCTTAATTTTGACAAAGCTGGTAATGATATTTTATCAACAATTGCTCCAGTTTGCTAGAAGTTGATCTTATAACGTGCTAATATTGACACAAACCACCACACACAGCCTCGGGTAAAGACTGCCCTGACCGTCTTGAACAAATGATTTTACAGGTAATTAGTTTTCTTTTCCCATCATTAGTGAATTTAATCATGTATATTAATGACCAATAAAATTATATCTTTCTGTCTTCTGCGGGTCAACAGACCCGTAATCTGTTTAGGGTTATTAATCTTCTGTCTCCTAGAATTTTATTGTAGAAATTCAATGGATAGTTCCTGCTATTTGAAGCATTGACAATCTCTGTTGAAGAAAAAGGGCAAACATATATATATATAGATAGATAGATAGATAGATAGATAGATATTATATGTATTAAAATAGAATGGTCTAAATATAATGAGCACAATAACATTTTATTATTTTTAATGCAAAACTACAATTTGATTATCTCATCTGGAATATATGTCTTTGCCTGATCTTTTAATTATTTTTTTCCTTTGTTTTCCGTTGTTTTTGGTGGGTTTTAAATTTTCATTGTTTTTTTTCTGGAAAAAATCCTATTCATGTAAATGTACATTTCTTTCTTTCTTTTTTTTCCTTTTGAGAAATAAACAATATTATGTAAGTACTGAAAAGAAACATAATTAAAATAATGAAAGTGAAAATTTTCTTATCAATTTGAGAAATATTTTCCATAATTTTAAAAAGATTCAATACTATTTATTTTGAATAATTACAAAAAAATCAGAAAATGTAAAACCAGAAATAATAATGTATTTAAAATATAGCTGAAAATTGGTTTATCGTTCATTCTGAACCGGAAGCTCGTGTTTCCTCGCAAGTCACCAGCAAGTGACAGGGCGACATCTCTTTTGTGACTAATTTATGGACGGAGCACATTTTTGTGTATCAATTTTCCCGTCTACCCAGACCAGACCTTCATAACCCGTCAATCACCAAATGATATAACCCGATCACTACCCTTCCACGGAGAATACAACATTTCATCCTTCCGCTCCGATTGGCGTATTTTTAATTAGATGTCGCTGCTCCGTTCATACAACCCCGCCCCCTTGTGGTCTTGTTTGTTAATTTTTTTCTAAACCAAACAGGCCAAAAAGTTATTCTGCATTGAAAAATATGTATGTCATGGGATTTTATAATAAATTCTAATATTTGGATGTGGAATGACAAGTAAAACGTTATCGATATTTCTACGGGATATCGAGGAATTTCAGGAAAGTGTTTAAAGATGGATTCAAAACAAGAACGTATTCCAGTAGGAAACGAACAAATGGTTGCAAGATGTTCAAATTTCTCCATCGATGAAATCTTAAAACCAACATTTGGGCCACCAAAACGACATTGGTTATCTGCGTTTTCCAGTGTTGGAAAAGGGTCAAGAACAATTTCCACATCCGGTCTCAGTTTAGATCTACAGAGAGACAGACATGAGTCCGCTTTTGTCAGACTTTCACCCTCGGACTCTCAAGCTTCGGTATGTTCAAGTCCTGATTCAAACCCAGCAGCTGGCAGTCCGGTAGCCATTTCCCCTGGGTCAGACGGAAACGAGAAGCCCATGTGGCCAGCGTGGGTGTTTTGTACCAGATACTCCGACAGACCCTCCTCGGGTACTTATTTAAATTACATATGTTAACTAACCAGGAGCTCTGTTTTAGTGTAGTAATACTAACAGTATAAATTATTATTATTAAAGTTTATAAAATAATTTATAAAACATATTTATATTTCTTGACTTTATAATTTCTTACATCTCATGATTGAATATTTACAAAACAAAAACAGTAGTAATATATATAACCTTAGTAAGTATCATTATATCCTTCTTTTTAGAAAAATTATGCATTCCTTTCCATAAAATACACTAAGAAGGAAACTGCATGAAATAAAGAATTGCATAGAAAATATATGACTTAAAATATTGAGAATATATTGAGAATATTTCTTTCAATAAATTGAAAGTTCAATGTAAAGACATTGATAAAACTGGCATATACCCCGCTAAGATGGTAAAAAGCTTGGTGTGACATCCCAAAATGTTTATTGCCGTACTCTCAGCGGTGGCTTAATTGGAGCTCATTATTCTCCAGACCATATATTTTTCGACTTGCAAACTTACAACTTGGCTGGCAATTTACCTCCATGTCCACTTATGTTGATATAGGGCTAGATAAAATAAACGTTCTTGTGTTAACAAGTTCAGTTTGTTGTGTTTATGTATTGTTGTTTGGTATAAAAAATATTGATTTTTTTTTTAAATTATAATACGTATAAATATAATCTATAGATGATACTGTAGATAATCTTACTTTATAGTCGGGTTTTGTAAACAGAAAATATTAGCCCTTTAGAGCTATTTTCCGTCTACAATCCTTGTTATTATATAGAAATTAGTTTACTACTTTTGAAGCTATTTTTTGTTTCTTTTTTCATTACAGCTTATCATTTTACTAAAATAAGTAAAGCAAAAAAAAAAAAAAAAAAAAAAAAAAGAAAGAAAGAAAGAAAGAAACAACCACTCATTGAGAATAAGAGAATAATACATCTTTAAAGCAAAATTTGTTTCAAATTTTATAAAATTTATTCTTAGAAGAAAAAATTCATTTATATATCTAAATCAAATATAAAAGAGTTCCTCGTTAAGGTGAAAACTTATTTTGGGATATTCTAGTATTCATTTACAGCCAGGGATGTGTATATGTAAAGATAATTTTCCGAAATTAAGATGTCTATTTTGATCTAGGTCCACGTTCTCGGAAAATCAAGAAAAAGAAAACCCCGGATGAAAAAAGACCAAGAACAGCCTTTTCAACGGAACAGCTACACAGACTGAAATCGGAGTTCGAGGAAAGTCGTTATCTCACAGAAAAAAGACGATTGGAGCTCTCAGAAGAACTCAAACTGTCCGAATCTCAAATCAAAATCTGGTTCCAAAACAAACGTGCTAAAATTAAAAAGTCTACGGGATCTAAGAATGCCCTGGCACTGAATTTAATGTCACAAGGACTCTATAACCATTCCACAGTCACTCTGTCCGATGAAGGTGATTCTTAGTGCTAATTTTGAGACATATGTTATACATGTATATATTTTCTACTGATATCTATAAACGCGTTTTGATTTATCATTTGCACAAGGCATTTTGCCCGTAATTGTAATAAAACATGTTTACTGTAGCTTTTTCTCTCAGTATTTTTATTTCTCAAAAATATCAATGAGCATAATTATATCAAAAAAAAAGATACTTTAATAAAATGGCTAGGCATTTTTATAGAGTACAGAATTTCTAAGTAATCAACACTGGATTTCATTTTTTAGGAATGTATAAAAAAAAAAATAAGAAGTATATGTTTGGGGTTTTTTCTTATAAAATTCTGGGATTTTTTCAGAAGGTTCTCTTACTTAAAGAGTAGGATAGAATTTATTTCCTGTTATGATTTGTTTCCTATTATAATTACACATGAATGCAGAAAAAAAATAATAAAAAACATTAATTTTTTTTTGTATTACAATATAGTATGATGACTTAGATACAGAAATCATATAATGTTACATATATGATCATAAGTTTTGTAAATGTGTTAAGTTAACATTTAAGTAATGTAGTTAATATAACGTAATGAGTAAAAAAAATAATAAATTATATTAACATTTAGTGATAGCGAGATGCTCAAGAGACAATCCGCAAAGACTCTAGCTTGTTGTGCTCAGTTTTGCTTGATGTAAATTGCATTTATAGAAAATGTCTTTTTTGCGAAAAGAAACGTAATTTTTTTCCCTTATAAAACTAAGGATTTTATACTTTTGAAATGTTCATTTAATTTAATATATATTTATAGAAAGTGTACCTATTAAGATTCAACATTAATTCTTTTCTTATTCCCCTGTCCACTAATCATGTACGTATAGAGAATTTTTCGAGTTCAAGAGTATCAGAGGACGGAGTTTTAAATTCCTATTCACCATGAAAACCAAATTTGAAGCTTGATTATTAAGACTAAAACTTAATATTCCTAATTAAAAGACCAAATATATTTTTATTTTCGTTTAATAATGGGATTCTAACACACTAATGTTCACGTGATGACGCTGCCATAAAGATTGAATTACAAATGTATTCATTGACATTATCGTTACCGATCAGTGGAATTGATAAATATTTCTTATAGAATTAATCAACTTAATTTACATATCTTTACCACTGAATTTCTCAAAACAACTTTGGAAGTAAAACTTAATTTTTTCCTTATTTTATTCGTTTCATATTGACATTGTTATCTGTATTCTGTTGTACGTATCAGATTTTATAAACACCACGCTTTTATTCCACCCCATTCAAATCTCCATTTTCTTGATGCTATCAATCGGTCATTAATATTGCTGTGGTCTATGACACTATTTGCAATTCAGGTCTTCTTTCTCTATTCTAAGCTTAGACCTATCAACTTTCAATGATTCTCCCTCACGAAAGCAAAAGCTTTTCACGCTGAAAAAAAGTCTATGTACATTTTAAGGTTTATTACAAGATACTATCTGAAGATTGTTGTTTATCAAAACATGAATATGCCCTCAGGATACAGACAATCAAGGAGATAGTGGATCACCTTGATTACTACTCTTTCTTCCCTAATACCATAACGATCACATATAGCCATAGACAAGTCTTGAATTAATGAAACTTGTAACAGTTCTGTCTCAGATTCGAAAAATGAATTCAATGTGTTGGAAATTCTTTTACAGTGTACGAGATTTTAATTAGATTGACGATATTTTAATTAAATGGTGTCATCTAGTTCGATCCTGGCAGTATTTTTATTTCTTTAGCAATTTAAAATTTTACTTTCTGTTCTTTTCTTGAAATAAATTGAAACTAACGTCGTATTTATTTTCCTGGAGAATTTAATTGTATATAAAGGCATTCTCTGTTGGTATTTGTACATTTTAGCTAAGTGCTAGAATTTAAACATTTATTTAGATTAATACATAATTTTTAATAAATATTTGATTGTGCTCTCTTGCTTAAGTATAACATTGCTGAAAAAAGTAGTACCTTAATTAAAAATTCTTATATTTAGCGCTACCCTTTGGTAAGATAAATTGTGGGAGATAAACTTGTTTTCAATTAAACAGCAATCTATAGTATCCACTTTGTTTATTTGAATAAATTTACATTTTGTTTAACCTATATCAACTTTATCTTAATTATATGCCTAATTTTTCATTAGATTGATTTCCACTGTAACAGTAGCCAAAATAGAATTAAAGTTCCAAACCAAGTCGTATCATAGTTAACTTGCATAGACGTTTCCAATTTGCTATTGCACCCATTTATCGTAAAATAGGGTTCCAATATCTAATCATCCTACTCGTAAATGGGGTGAACAATCCTCGTGTGATTGAAAAATAATAGTAGGCTGTTGTCATTTCTTTTTTTCCTAAAATTATATGTCTGTCTATTAACTTGTTAAATTGTGTACTGTGCCCCTTGTGGATTTAGGAATAGCTATCTCCACCTTGGTACAATTTCATTTCTTTCGGAATCTTGACTGAATAAGATGTCAACTCTATACTGTCATCAATCTATTAATGAAACCCGGGTATCCGACAGGGCGACGTATTATCTCAATTATTCTTACTACAAGATTAACCGCTTTTTGAAATCCATAGTCAATTTTGCAGCCACTCAGACTAGGACTCATGGGGTTTCTTATTCACCCAGTGTATTGACATTCTTAGCATTTGACTTCTTTCAATTGCAAGTGGATATATGTTTTCTTTATGTGTAACATTAACGGGCTAAGCAATGAGATGACACGTGATTAACACATTCAGGGTCTGGAGTAGTGTTTCAGTATATATTATTGATTGACGAAAATGTGTCTCGGGGCCGGTAAACACATCCTTTGAAAAGGGAACAAGTATTACTCTCTCGAGAACTATAAGTCTGCCGTGAAGAAACATTTTATATCTATCAAATTGGTATCATGTGTTATTGTATAATACATAAGAAGTTATATAGTACAAAGTTTACTAATAATGGGCCCAACCAGGAATTCAGTAAGCACGAGTTATGTGTCACTTATTTCTATAGAAAGGTGTATGCTGTTTGCTATAAATTCATCAAAATATGAAACATATTTTATGCAAACTGAATGAAATAAATCTGGCAAGAAAGCACGACTCATCCTAATTCCATCTTCAAAACATGCTAACTATATTATGGTCGTAGCACTGTTTTTCAAAGTGAAAAAGACCAATTTAATGGAAATATGGCATATAGTGTCCCTTGATTATTTTGTCGCCGGCAACATGGTATGTCGATGTAAACAGCACATACTGTCGCCGCACATAATTTCGCCGGCATATGTTGTCGCAAGCGACAATTTGCACAGCACAGATCACCGTCCGTCAATACGAAAATAATATTGTATACAGTTCGGATTATTCTCCTTGCATTCTTTTAGGTGAATTTAGATACAAAAGTTTTGATGTGTCTTTATTCAAATCATTTTTATGACATAGGCCTACTACTATTTCAACAAACCCTAATCATCAATATTGCAAAATGATTCCTTTTTTAGAAATTTAAATTATAATGCAAACTGACGATGCTTGGGGACATGATTCAGCTGGATTTAATCTTTGTTGAAGTCTTCATCCTGACGACAGATAGATTTAATTAATTCTAAAATATTCTTCAACACTTGACTCTGTGACAATAATGTATTGCAATATCAGTTTAGAAGAATGGCAGAGGGCATTTACATTGCGCATGATCAGATTGCAGAATGAATTCATTGCTTCAGTATAACAGATATTCTTATTAAGGGAAGCCATTTTAGCGGAGGAAATAGATGTCTATGTTTGTAGATACTACATATAATGCTATGCATCGGAATGAAATCTAATACCTTTGAAATAAAGTCATTTTTAATTCTTGTCATAAGAGGTTTTTATTACCCGGATTATACTAGCATTTTTTTTTCTAAACGTGTGATTCTTTTAATCTTCATTATATTTGAAGATAACACTTCACACATCGTATTCACTTGCAATATACATGTTTAACAACATGTTATGATGCACTTAAACATTTATTTTACTTGTAAAGACCTTCATAATTTAACTATGAGATCTAACCCCCAAAAATGTGCCAAATATCAAACTATATTGTAAGAGCTATCCGCACCAATACAAGAGTCTTCATGAGCAAAAATGTTTTATATTTTCAAAATTCAATAATAATAATAATAATAATAATAGTTACTTTTTTTTTAATTGTTCACTCAATATTTATAATTAGAAACTGGTAATTCAATTCAGACCTTTTTACTGCAATGTGGTCTGTATTTTTATTCTTCTTATTAAGACATATGCATGTATGGGATTATTTTATAGAAATCACATAATTCCCTTTTGTCACTTTTGTCATGTAAATATATTCGACATTTTTGTGAAGGTGTAATATGTGTACAGTACATAGATGTTTGAAATTATCTGTAATATGTGTATAGCCTCAAGATTTTAATTATCTATAATCCGTGTAAAGTTCTTGATGTTAATTATCCTAAACTGAAACTGAAATCTTTTGAGATGGTAACTGTACTAGTCCGCACTAGTCATACATATGTTCATGGTCTAGTGAGTAAGTATTCTATAGTTATTACATTTTAACAGACGTGTTTTTCCCCCTCTTTTTGTAGTCTTATGAAGCAGAATTTACTTTTTACAGAAAGAAAAAGAAGTCGTTTGGCCTTTAACTCGACATTTACACATATCGAAGACTTTTTATCAATTAACAATAATCATTTTCATTCATACTTTAATTTTATATATACCCTATGAAGTGAACTCGAAATATGAGACAACAAAGAGTCTGACTTACGGTATCTATTTCTTATTTGGATATTTTACTAAAAGAAAAAAGACATTGATGGTAACAACTAAATTTCATGATAAACGTGTTGACTTCAACTTTTCTTTCTTCATTCCCTTGTTTATGTGGCATTATACATTACCATTATCACCTGTATGTAGGCATTATGTCGTTGATTTGATAGGCAAGAGCATATGCTTCATACGAACTATTTCTAAATGAGACAGACTACTGCCAATAAGTTGGTGATACAAGAATATCAATAATCTCGTTAAAAGTCACCATTTCTCAAATTCTATG